CCCGACATGCTTGAGCCTCTGGCTTTGGGTCCCTACACTCCAATAGCGATAATACGGTACTTCCTCTCGTGGATGATGGTGTTCTAATTCTCACATCCCGCATCTGTGATAAACATAGTTCAGTGTGAACTTGATATGAATTCTGACTGAGCATGCATTCATTCATATTTATATCTGTATAGATGTTTATTGAATTTATTGGTCTGATATGTGTTCTAGCCAATGGAACACTGGACTTGTGTCATTGTGCTTAGTGCACATTAACAAAGGATATTTTGTGTCACTAGTTGGTAATAAAGACAAAAAACTCACCCCAAATAAACAAACAAAAACCAGAGGATGGTACAGAGTGAAGAATGGACAGGAAGAGCCCAAGTGAAGGGAAAGTTTGAGTCACTAAAGGTCAGCCTGAAGTTTCAAAGGCTCTGGAATGTCCTAGAGTGATGCTCAGCCTTCAACAGACAGAGGAAGCTTGCCAGCTGTTATTGTTTGAGTGTGAAATACACCCTCTATATGTATCTGAGGGTTTGGTCCCCAGCTGCTGGCCCTATTTAGGGAGGTAGAACCTTTGCGATTGTAGCTTAACTAGCAGAAGTGAGTTGCTGGGAGCAGGCCTTGAAGGTGGTACCTACTTCTGGGTGTGGTCCATGCTTTCTATTTCCTCATCTTCCAGTGTATGAGAGGTTGTGCAGCAAGCCCCACCTCCACGGGTGAGCTGTACCAGATACTGAACCCTCTCTCCCACACACAACGGATTGACGTTGTTTGAAGCTCTTAGCCGAAAGAAATCCTTCCCTCATTTCTGCCAGACAGTCAGTCACTGTCACAAGAGAATTATGAACACAGGGACAAATGACAAGGCTTTTCATGGAAAGCTAACTCCGTTGACTGGTGAGGTTGGTATTGAACAAGGTATCACAGACCTGACATTAGTGATGGAGAGAATTGCTCTGAGCCAGTCTTAAACAATCATCTGTGATTCTGAGTCATTACCTGCCACCCAGTGCATCTTTAGCTAAGGCTATCGTGCTGGGAATACTGTGCTGTTCCTTAGTCACCCTAATGCTTGTAGTTTAAAAAATATTGAGTGTGTGTGTGTGTGTGTGTGTGTGTGTGTGGTGTGACTGTGTGGTGTGACTGTGATGTGTGTGTGTGGGTGTGGTGTGACTGTGTGGTGTGTGTGTGTGGGGTGTGACTGGGGTGTGTGTGTGTGTGTGGGTGGTGTGACTGTGGGGTGTGACTGTGAGGTGGGTGTGGGTGTGTGGTGTGCCTGTGGGGTGTGACTGTGTGGTGTGACTCTGATGTGTGTGTGTGTGTGTGGTGTGACTGAGGTGTGTGAGTGTGTGTGGTGTGACTGTGTGGTGTGTGTGTGTGGTGTGTGTGGTGTGACTGTGTGGTGTGACTCTGATGTGTGTGTGTGTGTGTGGTGTATGTATGTGTGGGTGGTGTGACTGTGTGGTGTGTGTGTGTGGTGTGTGTGGTGTGACTGTGTGGTGTGACTGTGATGTGTGTGTGTGTGTGTGGTGTATGTATGTGTGTGTGGTGTGACTGTGTGGTATGTGTGTTTGGTGTGTGTGTGTGTGTGGTGTGTGTGTTTGGTGTGTGTGTGTGGTGTGACTGTGAGGTGTGTGTGTGTGTGCGGTGTAACTGTGAGGTGTGTGTGTGTGTGGTGTATGTGGGTGTGTGTGTGGTGTGACTGTGTGGTGTGTGGTGTGGTGTGTGTGTGGTGTGTGTGTGTGTGGTGTGACTGTGTGGTGTGACTGTGGTGTGTGTGTGTGGTGTGTGTGACTGTGGTGTGACTGTGGTGTGACTGTGTGGTGTGACTGTGTGGTGTGACTGTGTGGTGTGACTGTGTGGTGTGACTGTGTGGTGTGTGTGTTTGGTGTGTGTGTTTGGTGTGTGTGTGTGTGTGTGGTGTGACTGTGTGTGTGTGTGTCTGTGTGTGGGGTGTGTGTGTGGTGTGTGTGTGTGTGTGTGGTGTGACTGTGTGTGTGTGTGTCTGTGTGTGGTGTGTGTCTGTGTGTCTGTTGCACTTGACCCAGCATGCATATAGAGGTCAGAAGACAACATGTGGGAGACGGTCTCTCTTTCCACCACGTGGGTTCTCGGGGTTGAACTGAGGTCGTCTTACCAGCCCCCCTCTCTAATTCTTTATAATGCACACCAGTACAGAGAGATGATAATTTCTCCCAATGTCACATAAATGAACTCAGGGTTTTTGACTGTTTCTTCTTCCTGCTGCTTTTTTTGTGGGGGGTCCTGCTGACTGTCCATGAATGTTACTCATCGAGGAGGATCCGTGTGGACAATTGGTTACAAATCTGTCTTTATCCTCTTCTCTTAATATTATTACATGGCTTTGGTTCATTTGCTTTTCTGCCAGGACTATGACCAAGGGATTTCCACAGGTGCAATAGTCTTTCTAGGCTATTCTAGGCTCAGATAAAGACATCATAGTTAAAGACATCATAGTTAAAGGCAGTCCAGGTAGCCACAGGACCACATTCTTAGATGCTTAAAAGGTATTTGCTTCCAAAACACAAGGCAGTGTTTCCTCGGACTAGAAGAATACGACACGGAATTTCAGGAACCATCAAATCGCCCAACTAACAGGATAGTTCGTGGTTTTGAATACACATCCCGGTATTGATAAGAATCTGTTTTTTGTTTTTTAATGTAGCTGCTTGTAAATCAATAGTTGACAAGAACAACAACAAAACGTACCGAACTCCCTTTCCCTCCCAAAGCAGCTCTTTAAACACTGCATTGCTTAGCGTTCTCCAGCCCAGGACCGGGGCGAGCGTGCTTTGCTGTCTGCCTTTTAGTGAGCGAGCGGAGGAGGCGCGCTCGCTGTCACTCCCTTTTCTTAAATCTCCCCGCATCCCGCACTACAAGAAGGAGCGCGGGTTAAGTCTGGGGGGCTCTTTGTGGGCGTCAGTGGGTGACCTGCATCGGGCTCAGGGACCCCAACGGCACCGCCGGCACGGGAGGAGCGCTTTGCTCGCCCCAGACAAGGGCATTTGTGGCCATTTGCCGGGACAGGACGTTG